TGGGGGCCCCACCGCGCGCCAGCCCCCCGTGGGCCACGCGCCAGTCCTGACCCGGGTAGGGGCTGGAGGCTGGGAGTGTCGGAGGGCTCCGGGAAAGTTGTTGGAGGGGGACCTTGCAGGGAGGGACGCTGCCCGAGAGAAGGGCCTGTCGGATGGAAAGGCACCTGACACGGTTAGACCCTGGGTGCGGGACTTGGGTGTTAGGGACCCCTTGCGTATCACACTACAGTGTATATTTGGATAGTGGGGCCCCAGTCCGCGCCCCCCCCCATGAGACTGGGTCTGGGGGTATATTGTGGGGTGACTGGTGCTGAGGGAAGGGAGTTCTGGGGAAACCATCAGATAAAAGTCTTCGTTGATGGGGGAGAGGGGACGCCTCCCCCTGGCACCTACTGAGAGAGCCGGGACTTGAGTGGGACTTGCAGGCAGGCCTCCGGGGAAGAGTTCTTGTATGTGGACCCACTGTGTGAGGCTGCCTCTGGGGTTCCTGACTCAGGGAAGGAGGTTTGGGGGGGAGTGAGGAATATCCCTGGTGGGACTCCTACACGGCAGCGCACCTCAGATAACCTTGATGTGATGCCACACTGCCCCGGCCTGGGGCACCCTGATGTGCATTGGTGGGGGTGGGGGTGGGTTTCTTCCAAGGACACTGCTATGGTTGGGGGAGGGGGGTCTTGGATGGTTTGGGGAGACCAGGGAGTGGTCTGGATTAGGCATGTTATTACTGCTAAAAGCAGACCTTGTTGCCCAGGGCCCTTGCTTGGGTATGGGAGAGGAAGGCGGGTGCTGGGTTTGGGGAGAAGTCTCTGGGATAGCCACCCAAGTGGAGATGGGAAGGATTAGACCCTCCTCTCCATACCACCCCTGGGGTCTCCCTTTATCCTGGCGGCCATTTCCTCCCCTCTCTGATTGAGCATCTCTTTTCCCTCCTGTGCCGGCCCCTCCACCCCTCCGCCCTCTCTTGCCTGCTCTCCACCATTCCTCTTTCTGTTCCCACTTCACTCATTCCTCCCCCAGCCACAATGTGGCGGGCCTCTGTTAAACCACCTCCCTTACCTGCCTACCCTATCTCATTGCCACCTGCTGTACCCTGTTCCTCCTCCATACACCCCTTCTCCCTGATGCCCACTTCTTGCCTGCCTGGTGCTGTCCCACACATCACCAGTTCTCTGTTGCCTCCCTGCCTGCTCCCAGGTCTTAGCGGCGGTGGCAGCCGAGGTGCAGGATGCGAGAAGGCGCCCCCCGGCCGGGCTCCCGCTCCAGGCCTCGCTCCCCTGCGGCCCTCTGAGCCCACCATGGCCGTCCCACCAGGCCATGGTCCCTTCTCTGGCTTCCCGGGGCCCCAGGAACAACCACAGGTACACATTAGCTTATTCCTCACCTTTCTGGGGCTGTGGGGTGGTGCTAGGGAGAGGGGTCTAAGGGCTCAGAGTAAGATTGTCCAGCAGTCTGGGGGGTAGGGGGTACTCTAAGAGGCTTCCAGAGAGTCAGGGCTGGAAGAAGTGACAGTCTGGTTACTCAGGTCCCTCCATTTCAGTTTCCTGCTCTGTATGGTGGGGCCAATCACAGTACCGACCTCATGGGTGGAGGGGAAGCTACCCAAGCTACTGAGATGCATGTACAATGCCAAGAATTACACACAGTCCTTTATAGATGCACAATACCAAGCAGAAATGGGAAAAATAGGAATCCTGGTGGAGTGGGCTCCCCATTGGGCTGTTAACCACAATCAGTGGTTGGAACCCCCTCTGGGAGGCAAGATTTCCAGCCCCAGAAAGTTACAGGGCAGGGCAAGGCAGTTTTGTGTTCTGCTGGGTCCCAGTAAGTCAACATTGACTTGATGGCAGGTGGTTGGGATGATTTTTCTTTTGGGGGTAGGGGTTGTTTTGCTTATAAGCCCCAAAAGGAAAACCTGGAGTGTGGAGAGGAGGATTCAGAACAGTTGAGGGCGAGGGGGTGTAGATGAATGTTCTCCATCGGCAGGGGCCCAAGTGGGATCTGGGTTCAGATGACCCAGCCACTGTGAAGACTCTTAACTGTTCTGGGACCCTCCCACCCGCAGGTACTGCCTGATGTGCGGCTGCTGCCCCGGAGGCTGCCCTTGGCCTTCCGGGACGCCACCTCAGCCCCGCTGCGCAAACTCTCTGTGGACCTCATCAAGACCTACAAGCACATCAATGAGGTAGGCGAAAGTGGGCCACCCTGGGCAGGGGCCGAGGGCGGGGGCGGGGGCTGCGGCTGGCGGACCGGGACAGCCAGGTGACTGATGGTCCGTGGGTGGCTGGCTGGGCAGGTGTACTACACGAAGAAGAAGCGGCGGGCCCAGCAGGCGCCGCCCCAGGACTCGAGCACCAAGAAGGAGAAGAAGGTCCTGAACCACGGCTACGACGACGACAACCACGACTACATTGTGCGCAGTGGGGAGCGCTGGCTGGAGCGCTATGAGATCGACTCCCTCATCGGCAAGGGCTCCTTCGGCCAGGTGCCATGACACCCTCCCCTTGCGGGCTGGGCCTGGGTGGGGGGCCTGAGGACACCGACCCACATCCCAGAGGTGGCGCTTCTTCAGCTGGCAGGGCCACCGACCACACTCACTTCATTAGCCCGTTTCTGCTTCTGTCCACTAGTGCTTCTTGGTCAGGGAGTAGCTTTGTGTCCGGTGTTTTCACCAGTACCTGGCGGACAGGCATTAGGTGCCCCCCCACCCCCACCCCAGTGGGAGTTGTTACCCGTGTCCTCTGTGGACCCCCGCGCTCCCTGCCTTGTGGTGACACAGCCCCACCCCGGCAGGTGGTGAAGGCCTATGACCATCAGACGCAGGAGCTGGTGGCCATCAAGATCATCAAGAACAAGAAGGCCTTCCTGAACCAGGCCCAGATTGAACTGCGGCTGCTGGAGCTCATGAACCAGCACGACACGGAGATGAAGTACTACATAGGTGCGGCCCGGGCTTGGGGAGCTGGTTGGGAGTGCCCTGCCCCTGGTTCCAGAGACAGCTGGGGCTGGGTCAGTGGTTGGGACCACAGTCATCTGCTCCAATCCTGCCTTCCCACCTCCTTCACAGGAGGATGGCAGCCGAGGTTCAGATCGCCCAGGGAAACTGAGGCACGCAGGCAGTGCTGCCCCTTGCACGAGGTCACAGTCTGTGCTCCGTTGTGTAACATGATCAGGCCAACCCGTCTAGACCCCAGCCTACTCCTAAAGTGTCCCAGTGCAACCCGGGGTGGGGGTGGGGTGGTGCTGCAGAAGCAGGTACTTGCTGTATATCCCCTACATCGGGGGTCCTGAGACTTTAAACAGGGGGCCAGTTCACTGTCCCTCAGACCCGTTGGAGGGCCAGACTATAGTTTAAAAAACTATGAGCAAATTCCTATGCACACTACACATGTCTTATTTTGAAGTAAAAAGACAAAAGGGAAAAACACCCACTGGGCCGTATAAATGTCCTCAGCAGGCCGCATGTGCCCCGCGGGCTGGAGTTTAAGGACCCTTGGCCTACATCCTGCATTATAGGCTAAGGGATAAAAGCTTTCATTGTGGGGGGAGGTGGGGAGAGAGAGGCACAGAATCTTTTTTTTTTCCCCCCTGAAAAGGGATGACAAGCCAGGTGTACTTGGGAACCTTTGGTCTATAGCTTGTGTTTCAGGAGGGCTGCTAAAAGCAACCTCCAGTCCCTCCCTAGGGGTCCTCTGTTAGTAAAAGCAAGTGAACTTTAAAACCATCATGTTTCATTTAAAAAACACATATGTCCACACGGTAAAGGGAAACCCAGAAGGTTTGACCGGCTGCTGCAACAGGGGGTCCATATTCTCTGCATTTCCAATGATCAGCCCGAGCAAACCAGCCCAACTGCCGCCTTATCCCTGAGCCTGTTCTCCCCCCTGCCCCCACAGTGCACCTGAAGCGGCACTTCATGTTCCGGAACCACCTGTGCCTGGTGTTCGAGCTGCTTTCCTACAACCTGTACGACCTCCTGCGCAACACGCACTTCCGAGGCGTCTCACTCAACCTGACCCGGAAGCTGGCGCAGCAGCTCTGCACGGCGCTGCTCTTCCTGGCCACGCCGGAGCTCAGCATCATCCACTGCGACCTCAAGCCCGAGAACATCCTGCTGTGCAACCCGAAGCGCAGCGCCATCAAGATCGTGGACTTCGGCAGCTCCTGCCAGCTCGGCCAGCGGGTGCGTGCACCAGGGCAGCGGCCCACCGAGGTGGGGCGGGGCCAGGAGGGGGCTGGTCTGACAGCCTGAGGGTTCATCCCGGGGGTGGGTTACCTGGAATGGGGCCCCTGGGGGCAGGGAGGAGATGATAGAACCAACTGGTGAAGGCAGAGGGGGTGGGGAGGCGCTGGACTGGATTGCTCGGAGTGCTTAGAGGTGGACAGCAGCCTGGTGGCTCAATGGTTATGGGTTGGGTTGATAACCACAGGTGGGCAATTCAAACCCTTCTGGGAAGAAAGACCAAGGCTTTCTACTCCTGTAAGGAGTTACAGCCTCAGAAAACCACAAGAGGCAGTTCCACTCTGCCCCATAGTGTCACTGCAAGTCAGAATCCATTTGATGGCAGTGCGTTTGGTTTGGGCTTTTAGAGCAGGGGAAGTGGGATGGGGCCCAGCGTCAGGGGAACAGGCTTTTAGGCTCAGGACTGGGAGGTTGCTGAAAGCCTGGAGGGCTGCCACCCTCTGGGTGGTGACCAAGAGGGACCAGGGTGGGCCTAGGGCAGAGCCTGGCAGGGCTGCTGACGGTGGGAAGCTGGCGCTGGTGGCGTCAGGGTTCAGGACTAGTGGGCTGCACATTGGACTGCCAGCCACAGAGTCAGTGGTGAGAAACCAGCAGTCAGTCCTCAGGAGAAAGATGAGACAGTCCTCCTGTAGAGGATGACCGGCAGTGCTAACCTGTCCCCTAAGGGTCAGGATGTACGAGAATGACTGTTCCCAGGTTTGGAGACTGGATCCTTGGTTGGGGGCGGGGTTAGGGGGTGGTCATGGGCCTGGCAGGTGGCACTGAGCCTCTGGCACTACCCTCCCCTCCCCCCTTGCAGATCTACCAGTACATCCAGAGCCGCTTTTACCGCTCCCCTGAGGTGCTCCTGGGCACCCCCTACGACCTGGCCATCGACATGTGGTCCCTGGGCTGCATCCTAGTGGAGATGCACACCGGAGAGCCCCTCTTCAGTGGCTCCAATGAGGTGGGCACTGGCTGGAGCTAGAAGTCCCCAGGCCAGGGTAGTCCCCAGGCAGGGTGGGCGGCCCTTGCCCTGGCTGACTGCGGGCCTGTGTCCTGCAGGTGGACCAGATGAACCGGATTGTGGAGGTGCTGGGCATCCCGCCAGCCCCAATGCTGGACCAGGCGCCAAAAGCTCGGAAGTACTTTGAGCGGCTGCCTGGGGGTAGCTGGACCCTACGCCGGACAAAGGAACTCAGGAAGGTGCGGGCCCTCCCCCTGGCCCTGTGCCCCTCCCGCTCTGGGTGGCCCCTCACTCTCACACTTGGGGCTCCCACATTCCCCACTGCCTCCCCCCTTGTCTGTCTTCTCTTTCCTCCCCTCCCCCCCTTCTTAGCTTCTCTCTCCCACTTTCTCTCCTGTGCCTCTGTTTCCCCTGTGTGTCGCCCTGCCCCTCCTGCCCACTGACGGCCACTCTCTTGCCCCCCCCCACCCCCTCCCTGCCAGGATTACCAGGGCCCCGGGACACGGCGGCTGCAGGAGGTGCTGGGCGTGCAGACGGGCGGGCCCGGGGGCCGGCGGGCGGGGGAGCCGGGCCACAGCCCCGCCGACTACCTCCGCTTCCAGGACCTGGTGCTGCGCATGCTGGAGTATGAGCCGGCCGCCCGCATCAGCCCGCTGGGGGCCCTGCAGCATGGCTTCTTCCGCCGCACGGCCGACGAGGCCACCAACACGGGCCCGGCAGGCAGCAGCGCCTCCACCTCCCCCGCGCCCCTCGACACCTGCCCCTCCTCCAGCACCGCCAGCTCCATCTCCAGCTCTGGTGGGTGCCCTTGCTTGGGCGGCTGAATGGGAGGGGGAGGGGGAGGCCACTGGGACGGCCTTTTACCACAGCTTGGAAATGGCCGGGTCCTCAACTCCAGTGTCGTTAATGTGATCACGCCCTGACTAGGCCTGGCCCAATCTCTGAAACTGGGTTTGGGTAAGACCCCTGGAACTGGTGCTGACTCAGGATACCCCAGCCTAAGTGAGCCGTGACTCCTCACACCTGGTCCAGTCTCCATCCTCCCCTCAGGCCTTCTGTCTTCCCTTGCAGGCGGCTCCAGTGGGTCCTCCAATGACAACCGGGTCTACCGCTACAGCAACCGGTACTGTGGGGGCCCTGGGCCCCCCATCTCTGACTGTGAGATGAACAGCCCCCAGGTACTAGTGCTGGCAGGCTCTGGCCGGGAGGGGTGGGATCCTGGGGACCTGGGTCACCCTGAGTCACGGCCTCTTTCCTCCTTCAGGTACTGCCCTCCCAGCCGCTGCGCCCCTGGGCAGGTGGCGATGTGGCCCACAAGTCACACCAGGCCCCTGCCTCCACCTCATCACTGCCCGGAGCCGGGGCCCAGCTACCCCCGCAGCCCCGATGCCTTGCCCGCCCCCTGTCACCCACCTCGCCACCACCCCCGGAGCTGATGGATGTGAGCATGGTGGGCGGCCCTCCGGACTGCTCCCCTCCTCCATCAGCACCCGTCCCGCAGCATCCAGCTGCGTCAGCCCTCCGGACTCGGATGACGGGAGGTCGTCCACCCCTCCCACCCCCCGACGACCCTGCCACTCTGGGGCCTCGTCTGGGCCTCCGTGGTGTCCCCCAGAGCACGGCAGCCAGCTCATGACCCTGCCCCCTCCCTGGGGCCCCCCTGAAGCCATACCTCCCCCATCCGGGGGCCCTGGGCTCCCATCCTCATTCTCCCCTCCACTGGAATTGCTGCTACCCAGCTGGGGCGGGTGAGGCCTGCACTGACTGGGGCCTGGGGCAGGGGGTCGAGGAGAGGGGCTTGGCCGAACCCTCCTCACTAAGGACTGGACCCTTGGCCCCCTCCCCCTTGTTTTCTATTTATTGTACCAAAGACAGTGGTGGTCTGATGGGGGTGAGGGGAGGCCCTCCTCACTCCAGGACCCTAGGAGGGGGTGGGGGCAGGTAGGGGGAGATGGCCTTGCTCCTCCTTGCTGTACCCCAGTAAAGAGCTTTCTCACATGCCTGCCTGAGCGTTTGCAGGGCCTGGCCCCGGCCCCCTCTGGCTCCCCAGGCCTGGCGAAGGGGGAAGGGGTCCACCTACAGCCTGCCTGGGGTTACGGCTGGTGACACAGGCCTGGGGCTGCACCAGGTCTGAGGCCCGAGACCCTAACGCACCCACTTGGGCCTTGCTCATCTGAGCAAACAGAGCCTGAAGGGCTAAGGGCCCTCAGGAAGCGGAAGCTTAAGAAGCCCCATACCCAGAGTCTTCATCGGAGCAGCTCCTCTGACCAGACAGGTTCCCACAGGTGTCAACCAGAGCAATAGCTGGGCAGTGGGCCCATCTCCCCCCAGAATGCCCCTGCCCCTCTCCCAGAGCCAGTGTAGCACAGAGCGCACTTGAGTTTCCCATGCAGAAAATTTCCAGGGATTCCAGGTAAGTGGGCTTTGGGGTTAAGTTTCCATGGCATCTTGGAAAGCTGTGTCTTCCAACTGGCCAATCAAGAGCAGCCTGGTTCAAAGGGATGCCGTGCTTTCTGGGAAATGGAGTTCCCCAAAGCAACCATTTTTGTTTTTGTCTTGGGACTACAACGACCAGAATTCTTTTCATTTGGAGGTTGGGCTTTGCGGGGAGCCAATCAGCAGTCCAACAGGGTCCAATTGTTTGGTAGGACTGGAGAAGGCTGTGCGCTTGGTGGCCTTGGACCTGCTGCTAGCCCCGTGGATGATGGGATGCTGGGCCAGGCAGCAGAAACAGGGTTCCCAGAAAGGATATAGGCTAGTCTCTTGTGGAGAGCAGTGACTGGGTGATGTGCCCTGAAGCAGACCTGACACGCAGTGCACCTCGTTAGCCACTGCGCGGTTGGGCTCAAAGCAAGCAAGGGACCCTTATAGACCATTAGGTACACTAAGGAAGGCAACGTGGAGCGAGAGGATGATGCTGAGCTGGGTTCTGAAGGTTGATTGGGGGTGCCCCCAGCGAGGTGGAATGGTTTCGGGTGGGAGGGAGTGATGGGGAACATCATGTGTGCAGTGAGCCGCAGGTGACCGGTGAAGCTCAGGTAGGGTTTTACTGGCCATGGAGGCATCCGGGACTGCATCCTAATGAGCCATCGGTGGGTTTCTGGAAGGGAGGGTGCCCTTGTTTCCTGCCATGTGGGGTGGATTTATTGGAAGGAGCTGGGGATCTGGGAGCCCAAGCTTACTGCTGGGACAGAAACCTGGGCAGGACTAGGGCAGGGGAGAGAACGGACAGGTGCGAGACTGAAATTTTTGAGATGGGAAGAGGGACCTCCCCAGCACGTGAAGCCAAATACCCACTGCCCTCCTGCAAGACTCGTCAGTATCCAAGAGCGTCACCGTTAGGGGAGCCGTACATAGAACAGTGAGAAGAATGAATGAATGAATGATCCTGTGAGGTAGGTATTACTGCCTCCCTGTTTGCAGATGAAAGTTTTGAGGGCAGAAGATGATGTAACTTGGCCAAGGTCAGAGCAGAGGGTCCGGGATTTGTGCCCATGTGAACCAGTGGCTTCATGTGATAGATGAGCCTAGCGACAACCAGCCAGACCTGCAGCACCTACAGGTCCCATGAGGAGTTTGGAATGGATCCGGGGAACTAAGTCCCACTCTGCTGTTTCCAGGATCTCTTCCCCTGAACTTCCACATGCCTGCTGGCTAGCTGTTTGTGGGTGTCGGGGGCTACCTTGAGTGTCATAGATGTCCCAGGTGGGACTGGTCATGTCCCCTAACCCTATATTCTCAGTAAACAACACCAGCACCTTTGAGCCAAAGTACCTTGAAGTTATCCTGGGCTCTGTCTTAAGACACCTGTCCAGTCCATCAGCAAATGCCTCAAACCTGTATCCAAAACATGGCCTCTTCTCCCCACCTCCACTGCCCTCACCCTGGGCTTGCCTGCCCTCCCTCGTCTCCTGCCAAGGCCATGGGGGGCACCCTCGTGGTCTCACGACTCGTCTGTTCCTCATGCCACCAGAGGGGCTCTGCGTCATGTCACTGGCCTCAGTTGTTCAGAACTCTCCCCCCTGGTTCCAGCTACAGATCTTTAGTCAACAGGTGGCCTGAAAGGCCCTGTCAACCCCTCCGGTTGCACCTGCCACACCTACCCCGGGTGCCTATGGCCCTGCTGTTGCCTTTGCTGGGATATAGCCCTTCCAGTCACGCAAGGCCCACTCCTTCAGGTCTTCTCTCAGACCCACCTCCATGCAACGCCAAGGCATCGATCATATCACTGATGTATAATTTATGTATTTACCTTGCTGCTTAGAGACAGCTTGCCCTCGAGACTAAGCTTCCTGAAGACGGGGGCTGCTTTCTCCACGTCAAGCATTCTCTCCAGTACCAAGAAGAGCACTTGGCACATGCGCTCAGTGAGCATGGACGGCATGGAGAACAGGTGGCTTCGGCGCATGTGTCTTAGTCCCTGAAGATGCCACAGTTCTGCAGGGACTGCCTTCTAGGATTTCGAGAGCCCAAGAGACCCCACAGACTAACAGATGTTCATACAAATAGGGATTTACCATGAAGGTAGGTAGCATTTGACAGGAAGTCTAGTCCCCGCTCGAAAGGAGGCTTGGTGTGGTGAAGGTATAGGCATTCACTCGATTAAGGCGGGGAGGGGCTTCCAAGGAGAGAAACACAAGGGCGAAGACCTTGATTTGAGAAGCGGGGTGAGTGGAACTTGGAGGCCTCTTAAATCCTCTAAGACTGGGGTCCTCAAACTGCGGCCCGCTGAGGACATTTTTCCGGCCCACCGGGTGTTTTTGCCACCGCTGCCTGTCCTGCTTAGCAGCCAACTCGTCCAGTGTGCATAGGAATATGTTCACAGTTTTTTTTAACTATAGTCTGGCCCTCCAACGCTCTGAGGGACAGTGAACTGTCCTCCTGTTTAAAAAGTTTGAGGACCCCTGGATTAAATTATATTCCCTCTCAGAAGCAACAAAGCCCACATGGAA